TGAAAGAGGACATCCACCAAGCCTTGCTCATGGTTCAGGGGTAACCCAGCCACTCACCCACCTGCCACTCACCCACCTGCCACTCCTCCAGACACCAGCGTTGCCACCACCGGGCACTGACAGCGACTAACTTTGGCCAGAGGTTTGAAGAGCAGCCCATCTCGAGCCATTGCATACAGGATCCGTGGCATGGGGAACATGGAGCCCAGGAGGCTGCAGAGAGTGGAGGAGATGGAGAAGAGGGCAGGAATCCAGGAGGTGCCACCCTGCCCTTTGCTTCTCCTTGGATGCCACAGGAGCTCCTGTTCATCCATATGGGATCTCAAGACCACACTGACAAGACCATCACCTCCCTCACCATCAGATGAAGGACAGGGTGGGGGAAGTGATGTCCACAGGTTACCGGGAGCCCCGTGCACACCAAGACACCCCAGCCTGCTCCTGCAGTCACGGTGCCACCAAACACCTGACCATTTCCTCCAGCTTTGGGCTGTAAGTGGCACAACAAGGGGTTTGGTTGCTCTTCTTGATCAGGAGGGGCCAGGCTGGGAGCAACAGGGATTGTGAGGAAGGGCTGAGTGATTTTGAGTAAGCAGGGCAGACACAAGGAGGGGTTGAAGATAGCTCCTGCATGTGTTACAGCTCCAGTGCAACCTTGCTCTGACCCACAGAGCTGCTGTTGGGGCCACCCCTCACCTGGTCGTCAGGGCACACAGTGACCCCACAGCCACAGCGTGCTTGGCACTGCTCCAGCCAACGTATTCGAAAGCTGCTGGGAGCGGGCTCATGGTGTCCAGGAGGTAGTAGGGCATCATCAGGGTGAGGGCAGCAGACACCCCAAAGTAGGCGAGGAAGCAGATGAGGAGGGAGAGGACAATGCCCGTGGGGATCGATCTCTGCGGGTCCCTCACTTCTTCCCCTGGGAAGGACAAACTCAGCTGTAAAAACAGATCCTCATTTAATACCCCGCATCCCCCCACAAGAGGACACACAGGCCTTCTAGCAAGGATCACTAGACCTCCTGGGTGGCAGGGTTATGACGACAGGGACCATCTCTGCTTCAGGATTAGCCCAGTCGTGCCATGTGGACCCTTATAGTTCCTCCTCTGAGCACGGAGGGCAGGAGAGAGCGGCTGCAGCACAGAGCCAGCAATGTGCCCATTCCCAGCCCTACACCAGTTTGTGTGGCTACAGGGACAATCACTGCCACAGCCCCAGAGCCTGCAGGGGAGGGTCCCACCAGCATCTCTCCCCCCTTCACTCACCCATGGTAGCGATACAGTCAAACCCAACAAAGGCATAGAAACAGGCAGAGGCTCCAGCCAAGGTCCCGGTGAAACCATAGGGCATGAAGCCTCCCACCCCAAAGGCACTGGTCACGTTGTCAGGCATGGACTGGTTCCTGGGAAGGGGAGGAAGAATCAGGCAGTGCAGAGGGGCCAGTGCCACGGGGTCCCAGGACAGGGCCATGCTGAACAGCCCATCCAACCTGCTCACTCCTCCTGCATCAACCCAGCAGGGCTTGGGACTCTGGCTCTTTGACACATTACCAACAGGGCAGAGAGAAATGGGAGAAAGCGGGATTTCCTGGGATAAAGCCTTAGGGGGATGACCCGGCTATCCCCATCACCCTCTGAAAGCAGCATGGGGAGGTGGGAGCCACTCATACCCAGCCTCGCGGGAAGCTGCCTGTGGCAGGTCATCCTCCCCCAGCCTCCAGTTGCTCAGGTCACCTTTGATGAAGCCGCTCACTGTGACGAAGAGCAGGACAAGCACATTGAGAGCTGTGAAAGCTTTGTTGACTGTGGTGGACTCCTTCACTCCAAAGGAAAGCAGCCCTGGGGATGAAAAGAGCAAAAACTGGACAAGCCCCTTGGGTGACACCAGGCCCAGGGTAGACATTACTGGGGAGAGTGGAAAAGGGGGACAGTGGTAGAGTCAGGAGGATCTGCAGATTTCCCCAGATTCCTCATTCCCTGCTTAGGGAAATGGCAAAGCCTCAGATGGGTCAGTACCATCCTGAAGAGCCCATGGTGGGGTGAGGAGCCCATCCAATATGATGGAGGCATCCTACCTGCCAGGAGGACCACCAGACCAGCAGCAAAGGCATCCGGGTGCTCTGCCAGCCCCACTGAGCTCGTGGCTGTGTGAGCACCCAAAAACCTCCCCATCTTCTTGCCAAGGAGCTGGTCAAAGGTAGCACTCCAGGCTCGGGCAACACTGGCAGTACCTGGGGAGAGGTGGTGGCTGCAGCAGCGATGGTGGCCCAAGGGGTCTGGGAATGACACAGCAAAGCCACCAACGCAAAGGTGGAGGGATCAAAAGGGTTTTATACCAATAACATAGGACAGCAGCAGATTCCACCCAGCGATGAACGCCCACAGCTCACCCACTGTCACGTAGCTGTAAAGATAGGCAGAGCCGGCCAGGGGCACACAGGCCCCCAATTCGGCGTAGCACAGACCTGCCAGAGCAGACACCACGGCAGCAATCAGGAAAGAAAGGACGATGCTGGGGCCGGAGCTGGTCTTGGCCACTTCCCCTGCCAGGACGTAGACACCAGCCCCCAGCGTGCTGCCCACTCCCAAGGCAACAAGGTCCATGGTGGAGAGGCAGCGGCGAAGGCTGGAGCCCTCCAAGCCAGCCAGGACCCGCTTTCTGCGGGAAAGCATCTTCGGAACAGAGAGCAGAGAGCCCCAGCACGGCATCTGTGGGACAGGAAAGCAGCAGGAGTGAGGATGGTGCTGCTGCATGGGCACTGCCCTGGGGAGGTGACCCAAACCCAGCCTGGACGTTTGCCTTGAAGCTCCCAGCATCCACAAGGTGCTTTCCAGACTCCCTGGGTCCTGCTTGGTTTTTGTCTCTGACAGAAAAGCAGCCCATTCTGGAGCAAGATGGGGCTGATAGGGGCTAACTGGGCACTGCTCTTGCATCCCCAGTGAGAAGTGGAGCAATGCATGATTGGGGTTTCCTGGGCTCCATCCAATTTGTGCTATGGTGAGAGGGGTCAAGGACACCTGCTTGTCCCCCTGCCAGTTCAGCAAGTCCTGTTGCTCCAGCAGCACCCCCAGCAGGGATGCACAGCCAGCATTGTCCCGGCTTTGACACTGACACTATTTGAAATGCACAGCCTGGGCTGAAGAAGGAGAGATGGGAGATGCTCTGCTCCTGAAGCAGCCAGTGGCCTTGAAGTGCACTGGGAAGGACCCATCTGCTCAGCTGAAGATGCTCCCACAGTACTTGTAACTGTGGGTCAATGGCACAGCTCAGAGACCAGGTTCTCTGAGTCTTCAGCCTGTACAGCAATGCTGTGGCTTGCTCAGGTCACTGATGGGGATGTCAGCCCAGCAAAAACCCCAAATTAGGTGATATTTGTGCTTGGGGCAAGCAAGGTGCTTGGTAGGGCAAGTCTGGCATTTGTATGCTTTCCCCCATCCTGCCTGTCCGTCTCCAGGAGCTCCCAGGACTGGAGCAAGGGCAGCTACATGCCTCCACATCCACACGGTGGTGCCAGGACCTCCAGGTTACCCCACGGCAAAGCCAAGTCCTTGCTGCACGCTTCAAATCCCGTGATCTGCTCCTTACAGGGCCAGGGACCCAGCTGGAAACCCTGACACCAGCACATCCCAGCAGCACCAGGGATCACAGGACCATGCAGTCCTGCTGCAGCATGGAGCCCAGAGTGGGCAGGGACCATCCTGGGGCAGTGCCCAGCACCTTGACCCCCGGGGGGGTGCTGTAAGTCATTATAGCCCAGGGAGCCCCCACCTCCAGGACAACTGCTGTGTCTCCCAGGGGCTGGAGAGCCACTGCCCAAGGCCAGGCACCCACCCCCCACACAACACCCAACCCACTCAGGGAATTTCACCCTGATGATTTTCCCTTCTTCTGCAAGGAAATTACTTACTCCAGCCATCCTTCAGGCAAACTGCTCCAGCTGCAAGCTGATAGGGAGGGGGAGCACCAGCAGCCCTTGTTACACCCTCCCCTTAAATCCCCCTTGGGAACACCCCAGCCCTCCCCCTGCTGACCACCACTCTGGGCTACACAATGGGAAATCTCTGCAGAAATATTTTTCCCACAACGCCTTCCAAATCATACACACAAGCCTGCAATGCTAATAGGCTCAGAGGCATTATTGAGGGGGTTTAATAAGATTTCAAAGTTGCCTGGACAAGTGGAAGGGGGAACCCCTTCCCTCTGTCCCCACTCCTTCACCCCAGGACCCTCACCTCAATCTGTGGAGCAGGTCTTAGAAGAAATCCAGGCAGAGAGGAGCAAGAACATAACCAGGTCAGGATGCAGCGGCGCACACACCTGCAGCTGTAGCTGCACCCAGGCTGAGCTGTCCCAGTGAACACGAGAGGAGATGAGCAGGGCCAAGAATTGACTGCAGCAGCAGCAGCACAGAGGAGAGACCTAGCTCCATGGGATGTTTGCAGCAGCACATCCACCTGTAGCTCCTAGAAGCAGAGTCCTGAGGCTGCCTGCACTTCCCTAGTATTAGGTACCAAGACCCCCCAGTTGCTGCCCACACCTTGTCACAGCCCCATTGCACAGAGACAGCACCCTTAGATAAAAAGAACCGCATTAACCCATGTGCAGCTTGCAGCAGAGCAGGCAGCAGCACAATCCATCACCAGCCCAGCCAGCCTTGTTCTGGGAGGAGGTCTGCAGCTTTCAGCTCAAGCAGCTCCTGTCCTGTCCCATCCCATCCCAGTACCTAGGCTCCCCAGCTCCTATCCTAGCTAGTGGGTTGCAAGAAGTACTAGATACTCTTCCAGAGGGAATGCAATAGGACCTAGGAATGACCCTGACATGGGGCAACTAGTGGGTTGCAAGAAGTGCTAGATACTCTTCCAGAGGGAATGCAATGGACCCTAGGAATGACCCTAATATGGATTCTCTCTCTGGGGGTGCAGCATACAGGGACTGAGCTGCAGAGTGTAAGCAGGGACTGGGGTAACTCCAGGGCTGGGCTTAAATGGGGGCCCTGGGCTGTGTGGGTGGGGGTCTCAGGTGAGGCTGCTCAGGGCCATAAGGCATATAAGTGCCCTCAGGCCCCAGCACAACCCCTCTATGGGGCTGCCCCAGCAGGAGAGGACTTGGGGGGAAGTGATAGTGTGACCTGGCTGGTCTTCAGAATTTTAGGAGAAGACCACCAAGCTTGGGCTTTGAGGAGATACTGAGAGCTGGTATTTTGGGGTGAAGAACTAACTGATTTTCTTGTCAATTATGCTCAAGCTGAACCTGCTTATAGTATTTGGTGATAAGAAGCTCTTAGGCTATAATATAATTCAGCACATTCTTCAGCTTGTAAGGAGCAGAGGAAGGGGACATCAGCCATGCAGGAACAATACAAGCAAGGATCTAGACCACCAAAAGCATAGGTGTATGCTGTCCTGGCTGTATGGGGCAGCCCCATGTCCCCAGGGCACTCTGTGAACTGCTGTGCTAGCACCTCTGGGGTGGGGGGCTCAGCACCCCCTGACACAGCCAGGGGCACTGGGAGGAGAGCAGGGCTGTTGTCCTGCACTGCAGCACAGGGTGAACAAGGCTCTGCTTGTCACCCACGCTGTCTCACATGAGCAAGGTCTCCAAACACCAACGCCTGCCCAAGGGAACATTGCCCTGAGGGAACAACAGGGCATGAAGGAGCAGCTGGTGCTAGCTGGCCATGAGGGTATCCTCCTCCTAGGGTGCCCCCAACCCCCTGGGGGTGGGGGGACACAGCCCTGTGTCTGTATGCCACCCATCAGGCATGTCACACCCAGCCTGGGGTCCCTGCTGCCCAGGGCAGGGCTGAGCAGCTCAGCTGCCTGGCAGCCCCAGAGAGATGCTCAGGCCAGCAGGTACCACCATGGTTTGGATGCCTGAAAGGTTACACGCCAGCAGCCTTCAGCATCTTGAGGGGGTGCCCTTTTATCTGCTCCTGCTGGCATCAGCCAGAGCACACACTGCACTGCCCACCAATTCCTCCAGCTCTTCTGCAGCTTCTGTGCTGGCTGGGGCAAGGGGTGGTGGTGCAGAGGGAGCAGGGTTAACCTGGGCGAGGTGGGGAAGGAAGCAGCCTCAGGGTGCTGCAGGCAGTGGTACAGCCTGGTACAGCCTGCCGGGAGCATCCTGGGAGCTCAGCCTGCATCTCCACCCACGCTGCGCTGTAAGGTCCTTCTATCCCTGATTATCCCTGATGTGTCTGCAGCATGGGAGGGAGGGTTGGGGGGGGACACGCTGCCCCTTCCCAGCTCCCTGTGCCAGCTCAGCTCCTGCCCCATGGATGTTCCTTGCAGAGCCCAGGTCAGCACCTTCCCCTTTAAGCAGACCCTGGGGGCCACCCCCCCACCACCCCCGTTGGCTTTTGCAGAGGGTCAGGGATGGGCATTTCCCAACCACGAGCAGGGAAAGGGGGGATTTGGCGGGGGCAGAGGCGGCTGGCAGCAGGACCAGCCT